GAAGAGATTGAGATTGTTAACAGCTTTAGTTTGCTTGGCTCCACAGTCAACACTCTTGGTACCAGCAGCCAAGAAATTAAAACACATACTGCGATGGGAAAGACGGCTATTGGGGACCTCTCCAGGGTACTGAAGAGCAATGGCATCACTCTGGAGACTAAGGTGTGCCTAATACAGGCCATGGTCTTTGCAATTACTTGCTATGCATCAGAGAACTGGACAATGACTAGGGAGGACAGAAGGAGAAGTGATGCCTTTGAGATGTGGTATTGGAGAAGAGTATTGAATATACCTTTGACTGCTAGGAGAATGAACAGCTTCATCCTGGAGGGGGTTAAACCAGACTGCTCCTTGGAGGCAACGATTCTGAAGCTTTGTCTGACATGTTGCAAGGAGGCACCAGTCCTTGGAGAGGGACATCATGCTTGGGAGGGTGGAGGGGCAGCGCAGGAGAGGAAGACCCTCTATGAGGTGGACTGATTTAGTGACTGGACTAATGGGGGTGGGTGTGTTGGAGATAGTGCGATTGGCACAGGAAGTGAGTCACAGGTGACCTGACAGCACGTAACAACAACTACAATGATTGTCATGGCCAAATTTTCTTTATAAACCTCTCCACTGGATTCACTTTATGTTCCTATACTATTTTTGTTTTCACTTTGAATTCATTTGATTTTACATTATATGCACCTTTCTATATAAAGACTGAATTTTTATGGACTGCCAAAAGAACAAATATGTTTGTTCTTTTGAACTCACATATCTTTTGAACAACATATGTGGATAAGGTGCAACTAGAGTGCTCTTTGAAGGTAAGGAGGGTGAAGCTTCGTCTTTTGTATTCTGGACATGTAGCTAGGTGAGGCTATTCCTCAGAGAGGGGCATCATGCTTAGAAAGGTAGAGAGTCAATGAAGGAGAAGAAGACTTTCCATGAGATGGATTGACATGGTGACTTCAGCAATGAGCGCGAATGTATCAGAGATGATGACGGCACAGGGCAGGGCAGGGTTCAAGATGGCTGTTCACAGGGTCGCTATGTGTCGTGCTCAACTTGAGGGCACCTAACAACAAGATTTAAGAGAGCTCTGGTAGCCTAGCTGGTAAGGAGTTACACTGACCAACCCAAAGGCACAAGGTTCAAATCCATCAGCTTCCCCTCAGGAGGAAGATGTTCATTTCCTCTCACATGATTTACAGTCTCTGAAATCCTGACAGAGGGTCAACTATAAGTCAGTTCTAATTCCACCACAATGACTGAGAGATGCAGAAGAAAAAAGTAAAATGTTTCTAATTTGCAACTATTATCTTCTATCCCATGAATTCATATTTACCATCAATTACCACTGAAGTTTACAAGAAATTTTCTCTTACCAATAAAGGTAGTCCGGATCCACTACCAGAACTTTGCGACTGGTCAATAAGGTCTTTTAGTGATTCTCCAACTGGAATAAAGGCTTCATCCTGTTCCAAATCACGATTATAACGACGCCTATTTGAGATGCTCTTGCAATAATGCCTTTAAGAAAACCAACAGTACATTTTAACAAACACTGTTAAAATGGAAAATTTCTGAGATAAACCACAATCATTCTTTCAAAAAGAATTTGATACAATGAAGTCTTATTGGAATATATAATTTTTATGAAACATACCTAGAAATTGAGTGTATATGGGAAAGTTCTATTTACCTTGCTAAAATAAGAAAATGCTGATTTATAATGTTATCAAGCAAAAAAATCAACAAACAAAACTAAAAACAAAGATACCAAGCCTACACAGATGAAAAACAGTATACAAAATGGGACGTTAGGTATGCAAATTTTTAAAATGTCTACAAAGGAATAAGCCACTTGGAAAGGACATACATTAAGTTGAAAATATTAGTTATTTCTGGCAGTATTAAGAGATTCACTTTCTATTTTTATATTATTTTGATACAGATGTAAGTATTTCTGTAACAAAACGAAAAATGCACTTCCACACTGAAAAGAGGAAAAAGGAATTTACAGGTATCAAACAACTTTTTATAACAGTACATTCTGATACTGCTGAAGTTCTATTATATATATAAAATATTTCACATAAACAGGAAGACAGAAATTTATTGCAATGATGTATAGCATTACAAATTTTATAAATATTAATACAATATAATGCACAAGTAAATCCATGAAAATTATTTAAAAAATGGCTGGAACATTAAGAGACAACTGTCAGAAATTCAAGATCGATTTAGAAGAAACTGTGGCATGAGGGATATCAATGTTAATGTCAGATGGATCTTGGAGGAAAGCAGAAAATACTGGAAAGGTATCTATTTGTGTTTTACTGATTATGCAAAAACATTTCACTGTGTGCATCATAAACTATGTCTGATAGTGAGAAGAATGGGAATCCCAGAACAATTATGCTTATACAAAATCCATACCAAGATCATAAAACTTGTTCCTTCAGAGCAAAGTATTACTGAATGACTTAAAATCCAGATAGGTGTGGGTCAGGGCTACATCCTTTCCTGTCTCCATACCTATTCAATCTATACTGATGGCTTAGTGGTAAGGAGTAGGACTACCAACCCAAAGGTAAGTGGTTCAAATCCACCAGAAGCTCTGTGGGATAAAGATGAACAATCTTCTCTCATGTAATTTACGGCCTCTGGAAACCTCCCACTCAACCTTACACAACAAAAGTAACATTCAATCTTCTATTAAGCAAATCATTTGAGAAGCTGGACTATATACAGAACAATGTAGCATTAGAAACAGAGGGAGATTCATCAACAACCTCCATTACACAGATGACCTAAAACCCTTGCTGCAGAAGATTAAACATCACAGCTTTCAATATGGATTACACTTCAACATTAAGAAAACAAGTATCTTCACTGGACTAAGAGGCAAAAATCAAGACAGATGGAGAAAAGACTGAAGTTGTCACTGATTTCATCTTACTCTGATCCTCAACACCCTATGCACCAGCAGTCGAGAAATCAAAAGGCATGCTGCATGGGGAAAATCTACTGACAAAAACCATCCCAAAGTGCTGAAGAGCAGTGTGAGTTTATAAAGACTAAAGTGAGCATGAAAACACAGGACGTCATTTGCTCACTACTCACTGTCAGCTGATGGAACTAACTGCCATTTGAACAAGTGGGGCAGTTTAAGGCTTCAGGCACAACACACACCCAACAATGAGCAGATCAACACCATCTTGAATCTGGCATGAAGAAGCCCCATAAAGACTAGTAGGTGGGAGCCCAAGATAATTTTAATGTGACACTGAAAAGCTTCACATGTGCACAGCATGTAAGAATATGTTTTGTCTATTCTGACCGAAGGGAGTTTTGGTGCCCTAGAAGTAAGAAACTGCACTGCAATCCAAAAGGCAAGGGGCTCAAATCCCCCAGCTGCTCTGCAGAAGGATGGGCAATCTCCTGAGCAATTTACGGCCTCTGAAAACTTGCTAGGACGTCAGCTATGCGTCAGTCTGACTTGACAGCATACAACAAGTCTGACAGAAAAGAGCTCTGGTGGCCTAGTGGTAAGGAGCTATGCTGCTGACCTAAAGGCACACAATTCAAATGCACCTCTGCAAGAGAAAGATGAGGAATCTCTTCTGAAAGTCCACTGTAAAGTCAGCGACGGGCGGGTTCTAATGGTACACAACAACAAATGACAGCATTCTGACAGAGCCAACAGTCTTCTGGTGATTGCTGCCAGTCCCCACCATCCTGTGACTCTGAGTAATCAGGTAAGCACTGGCTGGAGGATTCTGTTGAAAATCCCGGGCCACACCCACTGCAAGCTCACAAAGCTTTCAGCAACAGCCTACAGGGCATTCCAGAGCACTCTCTACAGCCCACCAAGCCCAGAGCCTTCCTAAACCGACCCACACAGGAAAAAATGTAAACAGTCCTTGATTCACATTGAGGGGTCCACAAATGAAGTGACTTGACAGGCAGACTGCATACAAATACCATGGCCCTTAAAATACACCTTCTGCTAAATGTGAGCCCCAAGTGTGGCTGGATGTGTTCCCATACCACCCTCATTGCAAGCCCCAAGGCACCTTGGACTAGAGCAACTCTGCATTTCATCAGAGCAAGATTCTGTGTGTGCCCACATCCAGTGTTAGATGGCAAACAATAGCAAATTCCTCTTCTCCAACCAAGAGCACTCACAATGAACACAGAACTAGCAACACCCCATCAGCTACTATATACATACAGAAGAGAGTTTAAAAACTTTACAGTAACAATGTTACCACAAAGTCCTGGAAGAAGAAGGCAACCTCAAAACCCACAAAAACTAAAACCAAACAGATGTCACAAAAAAAAGGGGGGCTCAAAACACAGTTATTGTTGTTGTTAAGTGCAATTGAGTACAGCTCATAGCGACCCTATGAACAACAGATCTGAACCCTGTCCTATCCTGTGCCATCTTCATAATTTCTGATGTACTTAAGCTCACTGCAGCAATCATTGTATCAGTCTATCTGGTTGAGGGTCTTCTCTTCTGTCAAGCCTCCACCTTTCTAAGCATGATGTCCTTTTCCAAGGAATAACCTCTACTAATAACATGTCCAAAACATGTGAGATAAAGCTTTAATATCTTTGCCTCCAAGGAGCACTCTGGCTACATGTTCTCCAAGACATATCTGTTTTTTCTCTTGGGAGACTAGGGATATTCGGAACTCTTCTCCAACATCAGCTTTCAAAACTAACAATTCTTCTGTCAGTGTCCAGGACTCAGATGTATAGCAAGTGACTGAAAAAGACAATTGTCTGAATCAGGGACACCTTGGATCTCAAATTGACTCCTCAATAATGTGGAGAGGTCCCCAACAACAGACTTTCTCAGTGCAGTAAGCTTCCTGATTGCCTGACTGCTGATACTAAGTATACTGTTTGTGGATCCAAGTAAGATCACTGACAGTCTCAATCCATTCTCCTTCCATCATGATGTTGCCTATGGGTTCATTAGGGAGGATTTTTGTTTTCTTGATGTTGAGACTCAATCCATATTAAAGGCTGCAATGTTTAAGCTTCTGCAGCAAGTACTTCAAGTCCTCTTCACTTTCAGCAAGCAAGGCTGTGTCATCCATATAACAAAGATTACTGAATGTTATAATGAGTGTTCTTCCAATTCTGATGCCACATTCCTCTTCATAGCATTCAGTTTCTCAAATAATCTGCTCAGCATACAAATGAAATCGATATGGAGAAAGGATATAACCTGAAACACATCTTTCCTAATTTTAAACCATGCTGTGTTCTCTTGCTCTGTTCCTGTAATAGTCTCTTTGTCTAGGCATAAGTTTCACACAAGCACAAATTACATTTTCTGGAATTTCCATTCTTCTCAACATTAACTATAATTTATTATGAGCCACATAGATACATGCCTTCGCACAGCCAATAAAACACAACATTCTTCTGGTATTCGCTGCTTTCTGCCAGGATCCTTCTGATATCAGCAATAATATCCCTGGTGTCATGATAACTGGTGATCAAATGCAAAGGGATATTACAAACAATTTTTTTTAAACACAAAGATAATTTAGAGTAACAGGACCAGCATTATAGAAACTCACAACATGCAGAAGGGACAAAGCAGCAGAAATGAAGAAATTGAGCAATACCACTTACAATAGCCAACCACAAATGGAGATACTTGGGAGTAAATTTAACTAGAAATATAACAAACCTTTATAAAGAAAACGACAAAACACTACTGTGAGAAACAGTAAAAAACCTATATAAACAGAAAACTGTTCCCTGTCCATGGACAGGAAAACTCAATATAGTGACAATGACAATCCTACCAAAAGCAATCTATATGTTTAATGTAATCCCAATATAGATACCAAGTTCCTTTTTTCAAAGAGATATAAAAGGAAACCGGAAGTTTATCTGGAAAGAGACCCCCAAATAAGCAAAGCACTTCTGAAAAACAAGAATGAAGTAGGAGGTGTTATCAATCCCTGATCTCAAAACCTACTACACAGCTGTAATAACCAAAACAGCATACTACTGCTAAAATGACAGACTATATACTAGTGGAACAGAATGGAGAACCCAGAAATTAACCCATCTATCCAGTCAATTGATATTTGACAAGGAAACAAAACTTATCTATCAAATGGGGAAATAACCACCTCTTTAACAAACAGTGCTGGCAAAACCGAACTTTTGCATAGAGAAAGCTAAAACAGGATTCACATCTCATACTATACCAAAAAAATCAAGTCAAGATGGATCAGAGACCTAAGGGTAAAACCCAAATCTAAAGATTTCATTAGACAAAATGGGCCCAAACTTAGAACACCTAGCCTATGATATAAGAAGGCTGGGGAAATACAGCCAGAAATGCACAACCAGGAAAGGATAGCATCAATGAATAAAACCGTCTAAAGATTAAGTCCTTGTGTGCTTCAAAAACTTTTACCAACAGGGTGAAAGAAAACTTAGTGACTGGGAAAAAACATTTGGCAATACCATGTCAGACAAGGGTCTCA